TCTTATTAGCTCTTGTAGCTTATATTAACCCATTATTCTTATCTATGTTAGCCACATGGCTTGGTACCTTTCTCAGCAGGGAAGGTCACATCCTGCTTCTTCAGTGATCTGAGCTAGACTGGGAAGAATGGGCTTCCTCCTTCCCAGCATTCTCCTGTTCTCATAGCCTCGCCTCTACTTTCTGTCTGATTGATCCACTTATGCTTCCTGCCTGACCAACATGATTGACAGAATATAGACAATTCTCCTGCACCACTTCCCCCTCTTTAAAAAAAAAAAAAGGAAAATAGCCATAATGCATATTTTGGGAATGTGGGCGTAGTATTCCAGGCTACTTCCGGCTGGTTGGGGCACTGATAATCTTATGTGCACCTAAAGAAAATTTAAATTTATGATCAAGTCCTGACTGGAGTATCCTGTGAGGCCTGATCATTTCAAGCAGCATCTTGAATCTGCTCTGAATGTAGAACTTAGACCTGGGCTGTCTGTTCCTACTGGAGATTTCTCAGGTGATCTTCCTTGATTGAACCTGATTTTTCTTAATTCAGAATGAATTCAGTCTTTCATTTCCTATGGAAACAAAAGCAAAATCTCTTCTCCAAAGTAACATACCTTTTGACTTCAATTTTAAGTCAAGGTATTTTCAAAATACCTATCTTGGATTAATTCAGCAGCATTTATAAGCAAATATCTTTTAGCAGCTGTTGCTCATTCCTCAGCATTCAAACAATTCAAAGAGATCATAATACCATACAGCACGAAGCAGTTTGGAGAGAAAAAACTACGTCCATATTCCCAAATATTGTTTATAAATATTCTTTTACATTTAAAAGGGGATATTATATAGATATGAATAATTTAAATTTTGCTTTGTTGATAGAAATTTAAGTCTAATCTTGTTATATGTATATTTCTGCTCTTGATTAAGGTATTATGATTGTGTAGTTAATTTAAAACTGTAATTTATAATTAGGAAATATAGGTTGTTAATGGATAATCATCAATAATAGTCATTTATAGTCATGTTAGCTAGCTTTTCTAGATATACAGAGATATATTTCAGTTAGATAGGTATTCTTCATATCTTTCAAAGACTACAGAATATGGCATTTAATGTTTTAATAACTTAGGGCTTTTCATGACAATGAGACATGTCTGCTCCTGGAAGTACCAATCTACTTCAAGAGGAAGATGGGCATCAAAGAGGATCCTTACGGAGTTTGATAACCATTTGGGCAAGAAACTGCTCTTGCCTGGACTCTTGCATATACTGGACATGAAGAACTTGCAGAGAGAGGATTGCTGAACTTGCCTAAAAGTGAGATGATCCTTCAGGGTTCCTGGTTCATGAAAGAGTCTGCGAGACATTCTGCAGAACACAGAAGAAAGTGACTGAACAGCCTTTGAAATTTCCTGTTTCATGGAAAAGTCTGCTGGATGCTATGGGCCTGAAGGCTGAAGATGGATGCTCCAATGATGCAGAAGAACTTTTGGTGACTGTCCAGGCAGCGAGATGTCTCTGTCATTTCTAGAGTTTTGAAAGTTGCTTACTTCTCATTTACTTAGTTAATATTATATCCTTCTGGAGTCTTTGATGGAGTTGAAGAATAGATAGATAGTTATAGTTTTCCTTTGTTATGATAAAAGATAAACTAGATATAAATATTGTAACTGTAATTCTTGATTGATAACTGTTTTGTTATATGTAATTTTACTATGTTAAAGTGAAAGCCTTTGTTTTCTGTTTAAACAGAAAAAGGGGAAATGGTGTAGGAGGTCCTTCTTTCTATATTGCTTTCATTGATTGAATAAAGAGACTGCCTTGGCCTTTTGATAGGGCAGCCCTTAGGTGGGTGGAGTAGAAAGAATTGAATGCTGGGAGAAAGAAAGCAGAGTCAGAGAGCCACCATGGAGTTGCCAGAGTCAGACATGCTGAATCTTTCCCGGTAAGCCATGACCTCGTAGTGACATACAGATTATTATAAATGGGTTGAATCAATGTGTGAGAGTTAGCCAATAAGAGGCTAGAACTAATGGGCCAGGTAATATTTTAATTAATACAATTTCTGTGTGGTTATTTTGGGGGGCTAAGCTAGCCGGGCGGTGGGACGCAGCCCACCACTCCCCCTACAACAAAATGAAGGAACGTTACATGACTTTGAATTATACAAAGCCTTTCTAGAATTGCAACATCAAAAGAATAAAAGAAAAAAATGAGAATTGGACATGGTGGCTCATGCCTGTGATCTCAGCACTGGGAGGATCAGGAGTCCAAAACCATCCCTAGGCACACAATAGGTCTAAGACCAGCCTTGGACACACAGTAGGTCTAAGACCAGCCTTGGGCATACAGTAGGTCTAAGGCAGCTTTGGGCACATAGTAAGTATAAGGCAGCTTTGGGTACTCAGTAAGCCTAAGGCCAGCGTTGGACACATAGTAAGTTTAAGGCCAACCTTAGGTACATATGTCTAAGGCAGCCTTTGGTACACAGTAAGTCTAAGGCCACTTAGGCACACAGTAAGTCTAAGGACAGCCTTGGCTATATAAAACACTGTCTATAGAGAGAGATAGAAAAGGTAGGAGAGGGAGGGAGACATTTGATTAATGATACTTCACCAAAATAAAAACTTATATACTGTCTAGACAATAAAAGGGAAAAAAATCCTTGAGACCACTTTCTGATCAAGGTTTTGTATATCTCAATTCAATAAGAAAAAAAAAAGAAACCTCAACCCAATGAAATATGGGCAGATAATTAACAGACACTTCACCAAGCAGAAACACACATAGCAAACATACAAATGAAAAGACATCAGCATCATCTGTCAGGAGAGAAATATAATTTAAACCACAGCAAGATGCTAATACCCAGCTCCCAAAATAACTAATGTTAGAAATTGGCTACACCATATAACATATGCATGTATGGACTGTTACAATGATAACTGCTATACACTAATACAAGTTTTACTATATTAAGTGCCATGGAGGAAGTGGAATGCTCTTCGCAGCCAAAGTGAACCTAACAGAGCACAGGCACCTTAGGAACAGTCTGCCACATTCTTAAGCAGTTTACACAGCAAACAGAAAGCATGCATGCACCAAGATTCATATGTGCACACTCACAGCAGGTCTTACAGGACCCCTTTGATGTCCAACTGGCAACAGTGGATAAACAATGTGTAGTGTATCAATATAACGGACTACTATCAAACGTAAAAATTAATGGTCAACTGATTCATGTAACAACATAATCTCAGCATAATGGTTCTAAGATGAAAAAGGCAGAAAAATACATGCACAGGATGAACCCATTCATAGCAAATTCTAGAGTACAATCAATGACAGAAATCAGATCAATAGTTGCCTGGGAACAGAAAGTAGCAGGACAGAGGCATCATAAGAAAGTATAAGAATGTTCTGGGGTGGCAGCTGTTCTCACTCTCTTGGTTGCCATGGTCACAGAAGCAATTGCAGTAAGACCAGTGAGACATCTTAGTGAGCAAACACACTGAGCACCATGCTGATGCCCTGAGTTCAACCCCAGGGACCCAGGAAGCAGGGAGAATTGACTTCTGACGTCATCCTCTAACCTACATGCACTCCTTAGCAGTATACCTACACACACAGATGTATATGTGATCACATGCACACACACCTGCACATTGATTACATATGCATTCCATAGCAGCACATCCACTCACACATCCACATGTGCCCACACAATGCACTCCATAGCAATAATTAATTGATTATTAATTATTAATTGATTATTAATAATATCATTAATAATTGTTGATTATTAATTAATTTTTATGTTTGATAGTAGTCCATTATATTGATACACATTATATGTGATACATATACACATATGATAACAATGTACATCTAGCAGTACCTACACATATACACACTACTCATGATAAATAAATAATTGTAAAAAGTACAGAAGATGCCCAGGCTCATCAAAGCACACAACTTAAATATGCCCAATGTAGCATGTGTAAATTCATGTGAATTACACCCTTAGAGAAACTGCAAAACATAAAATTAAGTAGGATCATCCAGCTGCCAGTTTTTCTCACACTGTTGACTTTTTTCTATGTTGAGCTGGGAAAGGTACATCTCTCCCATTTGAACCAAAGACCTGGCAGCGTCAGTTGAATATTCCCTGCAATGGGTTGTTTCTCCCCTACCCCAGCACAGCCTGAGATAATGAGTAACAAGAGTCTTTGATGGAGAGTGGAGCAAACTAAGGAGGGAAACAACAGGTTCCAAACTGAAGCTCTGTGCTGAGTGGTGACTGAAGTCAAGACGGGACATATAGAGTAGGGGGTAAAGAAAAGATGTGGTCGGGAGGAGAAAACCTCAGTGGGATAAAGACGAGAGTCGGCAGATACAGAGGAAAAGGGGGAGCCAGGAGTGGGTTGAAGCCAGATCTGCCTCTCAGGTTTTACTCCCTGTGGCACAGGTAGACACACTCTCACCAGGTCCTCCTCACTCTTAGACATCATACTCTGCTGCTTCTGGAAAGATGACGAATGCTTGAATTATCCTCTTGTACCCTTACTTTTCATGTGCTTAAAATATCAACACACGAGACTAAACGATGTCAGTGAGAGCAGCAGGTGGCAAGTCAAACAACTGCACAGTCATTTCTTTGGTTTTCTGGGTGGCTTTTGCCAAGTAAGGCACCACCATCTGAACTGCATTGTCATAGGGCTGTTTTCAAAGCAGTGTTCCCCTGTCTATTTTAACTCCTGCATTATACGCAGCCACACTCTGATATGGAAGAATGCATCACAGTGTACAGCGAGACCAGACGGCATATTAGCCACTTGTTAAGATGTTGTGAAGCCATATTCTTCAGCCCCAACTGTACATGTTTAAACCGAACCCATTCTGTCTCCCTTTTTAGATCAGACATTTAAAACAAATCCATTATTTATTTTAGTAACATAAAATAAAATAATCTATAAAAATCATAAGTTGTTCTTACCTTGACAAAAATGGTTGAATTGCATTCTTGCAATGCCTCCATTAGGCTAATCACATGGAGACACACCATTTCTACCATCTGAAACAACACATATCCAAGTCAATCCCACTCCCAGGGAACGAGAAACCCTGTAAACCTGTCATCAGCCACAGAGGACTGCTCCCCTGCACCCAGGAGGTCTTCCTGCCTAACGACTGGAGACCAGAGAGACTTCCATTCACCTCCAAAACCTGGCACCAGAAACAGACTTTGCAAAGAGCCCAAGGCTTCCTCCCTCAGAGCAGATGCTGCTGAAGCTCAGGGGTGGCTGACTTGCAGGGCACCATGATTCCCCCTGGAAGACCAGTGGGCGGCATCAGTGGCATCCTCAGCACCCTTCAGGGTCGATCTCTTTCTCCATCTTGATCCTTCCTCCACTCACAGGAGTGTCTCTCAGGGAGTGGCTCAGTATACTCCAGATCTGCTTCGCAGGTCTTAATCCCAGGGCACAGGAGGCCATACTCACACAAATTCAAACAAGATTGTGTCCCTCGTTGGAAATCCTTAGGGATGGATTTTAAATCCCAGGAAGTTTTCACTAGAATGTTTTACTGGGTTGAATAAACTTTCCAGAAAAAAAGTAATTACAATTTATATGTAACATTATGTGTTTGGGGACATGTTCGTTTGTAACACTCGGATGTCAGGAGGAAAGCGTTGACACCAGCATGCTGACACTGAATGAAAATGCTAATCTCCAGCATAACATGTAAAGTTCCAGCTTTGGTGCCTCCAGAATAACATAACAGCTGATCACTGAGCTCCTCTCTGATCACAGAACCGTGACCCAATAAGTGCAATTATCTCCTTAGGCCCAGGAACTGTTTCCAAACCCTGATATGAGCATAACCTTCCCTTACTCAACCAAACAGCCTTCCCTGTGTAAAACTGGGCTACCTCCTTCTCCAGACAAATGCGAGTGCTTCAATAAAGAAATACACAGTCCTCCTTCCTTACAAAATGCTGGCAGGAAATACTCCTCACTGAAGACACATGCCCGAATACCTCTGTGGCCAGGACAGCATGATGTAGGGTCCTAGGCACACTGGGACGTGTTTGCCCTGCACCCATGCAACCATGACACTGGCTGCTGCTTCTTTAGTTGAGAATTCTTCAAATGAACCCCAGTGTCTTTCAGAAATAGCTCCCACACACCTCCAACTGGTTCCAGGAGGACCATCCAAGTTTGTTTAATGTAATGGGTACAGGCTAAGCATTCTCCAGACTCAGGTAGAATGCCCTCTCATGGTTAGTCTGCTTTCACTCACACTATGCCAGAAAGACTATCTAACGGCAGAAGTTTACACACATGGCTTTTGAATCCAAACCCAACATGGATTTTCTCCTAATTGTCTGTCTTTATACCATCTTAACAGTAGAAATCTCACATGGAGTTCATTTAGCTCTAGGTAGAAAAGATTAAAAAAAAAATCTGCTTTGTATTGCTTTGTATTTGTTTTTTTTAAATATTCATGACCTACAACACGACACTTTTATATAATGGCATTGGCTACATAACACCTAACAGACACAGATTATTATGTTGCATACGTATTTGTGGGCTTGTGACGAGGAGAGGCTTAGATTTCTTTTTTTGTTTTGTCTTCTTTGTGTAGCTAAGAAGGCTCTTCACGAACTCACCACTTTGTTGTGGGCCATCAGCTGAAGGATGCTGGGTGTCACCCTACTCCAAAATTCCAGTGCTGTTAGTATTGCTGTGAAGCTGAACTCGTTCTGGTTTTGGACGTTTGTCGCCACGGCACTTTGTTCGCAGTACACCGTCCAGAGCTGGGCAAAGATGAAAGCATGGAAGAGGGAGCACATGTGGAGCACACAGGTCTGCAAAGGAAGAGGATGCGTGTTGCTCCGTGCTCACAGCAGGTGGCCGTGCCCCGGAGCACAGAAGCACAGAGGCGTGAGCCCAGACACAGACGCCTGGTTCCTCGAGTTGGCTCCTCTCTGCCAGTGCAAGTGTGCTCGGGGCCTCTTTTCCAGGAGGACACACCTAAATTTGCAGAGGAAATCTACCCGCTGCCTTGTCCTTTTAGGAGACTGACATTTGCACCCCTAAGCTGGGTTAGGAAAACAGTCGTTCTATTTTGCCGCGGTAGCATGTTTCCACATCTACAAAACAGGGGTAATAGTGAGTGAAAGAGAGGCAGGCAAGACCCTCTGTCCTGCACTTACAATCTCATGGTGTAGAGCAGTGTGGCCAGAACGCCCATCTGTGGCGAGCACACATTGCCACAGCTCCTACAACCCGGAGGCTTTCCGCAGACTGTCTCCACAATTCTCAGGCCATCCTACCATCTACAGATGAAGAACTGAAGCTGAGGAAGGTTAAATAACTTTTTCAAGTTCACAAAGGTCGTGGGGAGCGAAGGACACCCTGACTGACTGAAGTCTTGAGCTGATATGTGTGCTTTTGACATGGGCACGGCAATGTCAAGCAACCTAGCTTCAGACCCATGGAAAACTGGCAAAGCCTCCCCTGCTGTGAGGCTCAGAGGGATGGCAGCTTCTGCTGCGTGTGCAGGTGCTGATGGTATATGCACAACATCCTTGTCCCAGATGTTGACAGCCTGAAGACTGTTCCCCTTGTAGAGACTGCTCCTATGAGATTAGTTAAACTATGAGATTTGTCCAGCTGTATACCACAAACCTGCCTACACATAACAGATAGGTGTTCTGTCGTTTATCTGTACCTAATAACCACATGCAGGGATGGAGCTCAAAGGTACAAGTACCATCCTTAAAGATCAAACACAGGTCTGGGTGGACCTTTTGCAAGTGTCATGTGAGTCACTGGGTGGGCACCCTTATTTTCTCATAGAGCTTGCTCTGGCCTAAATCTTAGCATCTCATAAACCCCCTGGAACCTCCTAGAGTTTGCCTAAGCTCTGGGAGATGACTTGGGGTGTCATGACATCGATCTGCCTGGGTTTTCCTTTATTCCCTTTAGGCCACTATGAGTCTCTGCAGTTTGCAAACTTCCTCTGTGTGGGTGATTCCAGTGTGCTTCGCTGAGCACCACGCTAGCCTTAGTTCCATGCTGTGAGTTCATGTGTCCTAAGGGATCTGAGTTGAAAAGATAGCGCACAAAGAATGAGATGGGGCATACATCCCATGCCCCCGCCCCCGCTTCATCCTTGGTTCAGAAAACTAAGCACAGAATTCTTATTGTATTTGTAACCTGTTATTTCTCTATATTTTTTTGTGACAAAAATGCCTGAGAAACCAATTCTTCCTCAACTCCATAATTTATCTCCATAAAAGTACAGGAAACAGTTTCGGGGGAGAAAAGGACAGCCTGGGAATTTAAACAACTCTAAGCAAGGCATTAGCACAGAGTCGCTTTCCCAGCAGCCACAGGAGGGTGAGCTGTAACGCCTTCACTTCTCAGAAGAAACTAATTGGCTGATAAGGGTCTCCATTAGCAATTCCAATGCACTGAGTCTGAATCTGCAGAAATCACTTACCTTTGATTGCTCTGGAAATCCAATTAAGATAACAATAAGGTGGTCTGCGATGTGGGAACCTGCATCCAGAGGTATTGGAAGGCAGGGAGAGGAGGCATTGGGACAGACTGCATTATGGGTGAGGGACCCCAGGAGCAGCCAGGATAGCAGCCGGATGTGGGAGACACACTCAATGAATTCTTTAGGTCTGTCAGGAAAGAAAGGAGGCATCGAGGGTGACTTTATGTTTTCTCTTTCCTCCAATGCCCAGCGGACATTTACTGGAGGAAGGGATGAAGGTGTGGTCTTACAGGCTAGTACACAAAACACCGAGGCAAGAGTCTCATCTATTTGTCTTGCTTCCTGCTCTAATCCTGGATTTTCCCTTCAGGAAGGAGCAGCTTAGGTGGGACAAGATTCAATATCCTTCAGTCAGCCTGGCTGTCTCCCTTTCTGAAAGCTTTCTTTCTTCTCATCAGGAAGTCCTCCCCTGGCATCCTCTCATGGGAAAGGGGCACAGAGCTCCTCTCTTGCTGGCCACTCCCATAGATTTCCCCCAAAGCCATGAGCTCCAGCTAAACCCCAGGGATTCAGGAGCACTTCTGCTCATCGGCCCCACTCCACCACCACTTGCATTTACTCTTTGTGTGTGGGTACTTTGCCTCCACATGTGTCTGTACTCTATGCATGTGCAGGACACACAAAAGCCAGAAGAGGGTGTCAGATCTCCCGGGACTGGAGTTATAGACAGCTGTGAGCCACCATGTGTGTGCTGGGAATCAAATCTAGGTCCTGTGGAAAAGCAGCCAGTGCTCTTCTTCATGGGGCTCTCTCTCCTGTCCCCGCCCCTTTAAAAGTAAGAAGAGTCTCACCCTTGCTGCATGGCGGAAGGAGGGTGGTAGAGCCAAGGCAGATAGCGGACCACAGCCTTGTTATCTCTGTGGTTGCCCCGGGAGATTTCCATAGCTGCAATCTGAGCCAGGCCAACTTTGAGATGGCCACCAAAGGTGTCCTCATGCAGAGGCTGGGAGCACGTCTTCATGTGGCTCTGTAAAGTCGAAGGACACTTTGAAGGTCAGGTCGTTCCCATAGCATCGCACTCCAGGCAACACAACCCACTTAACTTCTTAAATGGTTTCCCTCTGTCCTTAGGCTAAGAGCTGGGGTGGGAGTGGGGCAGGATGGGGTCAATGGGACCCACCTGTGGCCTACAGAGGCAGATTGCCTACTGTCCTGGCCTTGGCATCATCCCCCTTCCTCCATTCTGGGCTCCGCTGCGTCAGCTCTGCTGTCCCACTCCCACGTCTCTATCTGGAACACTGCTCCTCTTTGCTGAATTGTTCAAATTTAGCTCAAGTATCACTTCCCTTAGAGAGCCTTCCCCGAACTCCCTGGCCAGGTCCATGCTACTGTCTACTGCTTCTTTACAGCAAGTGTGAAAGCCACAGTTCTATTTCAGCTTACGTGACATATTCACCAAATCTGGCGTCCTAGCAGACTCTAAACTGCATGAGTACAGCTTCCGTGTCTGTATCTGCTGTTTGCCCATCAATGCAATCCTAATGCCCACAACAGTGCAGGTGTAATACCGACACTCAATATATATTTGCTAAGTTAGTTTGAAGGTTTATTTTGCTCAGGAACTTGAGACGTAGGTTCTAGAGCTGGTTCTATTCTGAGTAGCCGATGACCACAGATAAGCCAATTGGCATTAAGAAAGCACCGTTGGAAGCTACCACTCTGGCCACAGTTCTCTGCAGCTGTCCCCTTCCAAAGACACAGTCACCCATGAGACATTGTCCAGAGTCCCAGAGCCAGGAGCCCTCATCTGGGAGAGGAGACTACATCAAAGCGGCTATTGGTGGTCACAACTCCCACCCACTCCTTCCCTGCCTCCTGCCTGGAAATCAAGAAACCCTGGTTGCATTGTATGCTTGTGCCTCCATCCTCACAGAGGCGCCCTACTTCTGCAATGTGGGCTCTGAGTCCTCTCTTCAGGGGTTCCACCATGCAATGTTTCTTTGGTACTGGGTCCTACACTCTCTTCAGAGCCACTGCCATGCTTTTGTCTGTCTGTCTGTGTGTCTGTCTGACCACAGTGTTAGTGTTCTACTAAACTCTTTCTTCCCATGAGTTCATCTGAGCACCTCTCTAGAAAGCTCCCATCCCAATCCTTGTAGCTGCCTGAGGGTTGTGATCTGCTCCCTAACTTGAATTAGCGGTCAGAGGGTTGGATTTATCATCTTTTCAACTATCACTAGTGTTTGTGAATGATTTTTCAGAAGCTTCTGTAAAACAAGCTCAAAATGTTTAGGTAACGGTTGCTGCCTCTTCTTCTTGTATTAAAGTCATTTAAGTTCATGTGACCAGAGTCAGTGATTGGTGACCAGCATATGACTAAAGGACAGGGACGCTCACTCCAAAATGGCTGGATTTAGACACGGCACTTTCTATCCCTTGTCTTTGCTCTTCTCCCCATCACCCTAGCGAGAAACACCCTGGCTGCCTGAGCAGAATGCTAAGGTGGAGCCTAGTGAAGAAGCCACATTCTCAGCTGGTGCTTTGTCACTCTCTGGACCGTGCTTGGCTTCCCATCTGCCCTTGTCCTGAGCCTTCCTCAACTCTTCCAGATTTTAATCTTTTAGGTCCCTGATAGGACCATGGCAGACAAAGGCATCTGCATCATTTGTTCATCCCATCACCACCCCCTCACCCCGCCCCTTACCACACCCCTCACCCCACCCCCTTACCACACCCCTCACCCCACCTCCTTACCACACCCCTCACCCCACCCCCTTACCACACCCCTCACCCCACTACTACACCCCCTGCACTGGGATTTTGTTCATACACAAATTGAATTCTGTTCCATTCCCTTCATTATTTCCCTAAAGAAGGTAGCAGACAAACAACTGATCTGTGTGTGTGCAAAGAGCCACAGTCTTCCTGTGTTGGTTCATATCCATCTTGAGCCCATGAGACAAGGGAGGAGCCTGCTGACTCCCTTAGCAGAGGAGGAAATGGAACTGAGATATTGAGAGAGCTCTGGCTGGGTGAAGGGGGGTCCACTGGGGCTCACAGCAGTCTGGAGTTCAGCTCTGATGTAACCACTTCTGAGAAGTGTGACCTTGACAGCAGGACCACATCACTCAAGCCTCAGTTTCTATGCTTTTAAAAGGGCTTATATTGAATAAGGACATTGTAAGAATGCAGCAAATATTTTAAAAACTACACAAAATGCTGATACCATAGGTCTTTCCTTTCCTCTTTTTATTTTGTAGAACTGCTGGATCCCAATTCTTCAGACTCCCACCCCCAAGAAATGGGCCCATTCCACAGTGCTGCAGCTGCTTCTGCCAGGAGCCACAAATTCCCTTGTGGGTCTCCCTCATTCTCTGAAAACTCTTCTGTTCTGCGACCCTAAGGGGCGAGCAGGCGGACGCCAGCTTACCTTGAGCTTGGTTAGGGTGTGCATGTCTGCCATGAAGTCCAGCACTTCGCTGACGTACTGCCGTATGCAATCCATCGCTGCCGTCCCACACTGAAACACAGGCACACTGCTCGGCCACAGCGCCACTTCCCGCTGTCACCACAATCTCATTCTAAAGCCCGTTCGTTCTCTGTTACTCCCCCAACCACTGCCTTCAGTACAAAACTGGTTTTGAAGGTTTATGGTGGAGACGAAAGAAACTGGACAGCCTCAAAGAAATGAAATCAATGGCTATTTCCACCAGGCAAACGAAGTGAGGCTTGCTTGCTCTTGCTCTTAAACTGCCATAAACACCAGAGTCCACTTAACTGGGGCCGCCGGAACCTGCAGGGAAGTCTTGGATGTGCACGAGATGTGCACTATCGAGGTTAACACTGGCATGATCATTTTTACTTCCCCTACACACATATCATATCAGGTTTGCAGAATCAAAAGTTCTTTTCAAATCACATCATGACTTGACCTTATAAGCAGTCAGTATGTTACTAAATAGATACTTGTATTCGTTTTGAGTTCTTCCTAGGATAGACAACTAGAAGAAAGAAGTGTGATGGGCGCCTCCCTCACACACTTCAAGTGTGTTTGGTCCATTTCACAGGAAAAGAAAAAGCATTCTGTGTGGTAGGTTATGGACTGGCTGGGACCTGCTCTCTGAAAGCAGTGCCGTGAATCTGGGATTCAAAGCAAAACAGAGGAAAGTGGACGGACAGGCTGGCTGCATCAAAGCTGAGCTTGCGAGAGAACCCACATGTCAGCTGCATAATGTGGATCAAAGGCAGGCTGTCTTTGAAGCCCCATGAATACCCTGCTAACGGCCTCTCTGGGCTTCCTTTAGGAAAATCTGGAACATTACAGACTTAACTAGCTCGCCCAGAGACTTGCATTTCCCCCATATTCATGTAAATCTGCACAGCACTGAACTGTATCACCTCCCCTCTCTTCTAGAATGTTCCGCTTGTCAGTTCCTCTGACAGGATAACAAATAGTAAAATAAGGTCAGTGGCCAGTCTGTCAGTGCTTTCCAAGCGCTTTACATGTTCCAAGGTTTTCTCCCTTTAATTCAAATCCAGCAAAGGAATTATAAAAGGGTATTGTGCTCCGGCATTTGCAATATGAATCCTTTAATGCAAAAACAGGATCCCCCACCCTCAATTTATTCCACTCTCTGACCTTTCGTGTATCACGCGAGGAAGAGCGGAGACTCCGCTCTTGAATTTCCTGAAAGGGATCTGTGTCTTTCATGGGGAATATTTTATACCACTTCAACTAGGCAAATGCCACTGAAAAGAATCACTGGGACATTATTCAATATTTACCATTGCTCGTTCCAGTGGCAGAGACTACATCCAGCCTTAAAACCCACCTTAGGCTCGGGAAAATCCTGGGGAGCCACCTATACTTTAAAAGGCACAAGCTGACAATTTCCAATCCCAGCTTTGTATCTTTAGCTGTGTCACCAGGAAGAGACGAATGAGAGACTGCTCTGTGTGTCTCAGAGAGATCCGCCTTGCCCTGACAGGAAACTGGTGATAAAGGCGCTGGCTTTCGCTAACCTCAAGCATGTGAGCTGAAATCAATCACACCCAGCTCTTCAAAATCCATCTGACTTAAAAGCCACATTTCTTATATTATAAAAACGGCATGAGTTCATTGTGAGAAGCAGCAAACGCCAAGCATTAAAAAGAACGATTTAAAACCCCGTAATCCTAGACCCTGCCTTGCTTCTCTGAGACAGTCACTGCTCGCATTTCCTCCCCTAGACTCTGCTGAGGGCACCCAACATGCAGGGACCTGTGGGAAGACTGACATGGCCTCTGCTCGGCAGCCCTCCATTTAAGCGCATCACCAGCCTCTCTGATGGAGTAGCATTCTTGGAAATCTTTGCCTGACATCCACACAGCAGCCTGCCTTCTGGGTGATGTCAACTCAACTAAACAACAGAGGGGCAAAGGACAGAGAAGCCCACCTCTCAAGTTGTCGCCATCCCCTGACTAGTCGGGATGCCCATGCAAACGTCACACAAGACAACAATGCATTCCTGGGTGCCGAGCACCTAGGAATTGGAACTTGATGGCAAACCTCACATTATACCGACAACTGTTAAAAGCCCTTATAAATGGTGCAGTAATTCTCCTCCAATGAACCTGTCCTGAAGAAAGAGTCCGAAGCATGGACTCAGTTTTAAGAATAATGACCTCAACTGCATCTCAGTTACAAAAGCAGCATAACTGAAAACAAACCGCCCAGCTGAACGTCAACATTCACTGCTTTGTCTTCGGGGTTTCTATGAAGCCCCTGCTGGTCTTTTGCTTGTATAAGCCACCATGTGCAGCATTAATAGCCAGCATTTACTCTGCACAATGTTTAGCATGCATTTTCCCAGTCAGTTCTCAACATACACGAGACCCTGCTGCATCTCATTCATGGGTGACATAAAAGCAGGGAGCCACAGTTTAAGTGACTTGACCCTAGAGTCACCACTAGTAAATGCCAAGCCTCAAACTTGGGTACCTGTCTTAAAGCCTTCATTTCTAAATACCGTTCACTGAAATAAAAAAAAACACGGGCCATAAACTCGGCCAGGACTTACCCCAGGCACGGAGGCTATCATCTGCTTGCTCAGAATGGTGGACTCAGCTAGCTTGGTTCCAGCATCTGCACAAATAAACTAATAAAAAATTGAAAGGTGAATTATTTTTAAGAGTACTCATATAGTTACAACTAACTTATAATCTTGTTAAAAAGGCTTAAATTTATTCATGTTTACTTTCGTTATGTTATGGTCCCTCCCTTCCCGAAATACCAGACTTGCTAATCATGATGGTCTATTCCTGTCAGCTTAGAAACAACATGAGCATGTGTATGCTAACTTTACGAAATCCAAGATTGAATCAAGGAAGAAAGTGGTATGTGTGCGCGTGCGTGCGTGTGTGTGTGTGTGTGTGTGTGTGTGTGTGTGTGCGCGTGTGTGTGCGTGTGTGTCGGAGGGGACTCTCAGAGCTCCCAAGGCACCCAGTCCGTCCTGCAGTGCTCAACAGCTGCTGGCACACAATCCTGGACCTTCATGATGTCTATCATGACAGCACAACTCAGAATGGGTGTCAAAGTGACTTGACCCTCTCCAGAGATAGCTTGCTACCCCAGGGAAGCCCAGGAAGAGCTAGCCTGCTGTCCTAGAGCAGCCCAGAAAGAATTAGTCTGTGGTCCCCGCCTAGCCCAGGAAGAGTTTGTAAATGGATTAATCAATTACGTCTTAAGATCATGATGAGGATGGACTTGCCAGATTATAATTTAATTTGCTTTCATTACAGGCATTGACAGGTGTTTCCTACTTAATCTAACATTCGGTTATTTATGGTTTTAGGGGGAATAGTTAAACTAAGCCCAGGGATAGCTGAGTAATTAACTCCTGTTTGATTTCTCTTCTTGGCCTCTGGCCAGCTATCCTAGCAACTTTGGAATCTGCTGTTTGCAGAACTCAGAGCTCTAAGAAGGTTTTGACATAAAGTCGCTCCTTCCCATCCATTTGGAAGGTGTGGGGAACCTGAGCAGGAAAGGTCAAAACACCAGCGTGGAGCTACACAAGCTCCATCCTGCCAAACTGGAGAAAGAAACAACAGTTGCGGTCAAGCAGAAAAGTTCAGAGAGGCCTGATGGGAAAGTGTGGGACAAAGGAATGGAAACCAACATTTGGATGAACTAATCGGGTGTGCAGATCTGAGTGTGCTGATTGGCAGCAGGTTTCAGCTAGCTAGGTGGGGCTCTACATCAATGACCTTTCCTAATGTGTTTATTCTAATGCTGTGTAAGGAAGAGTCCTGAATCAGGTTTAAACACCAGGAAGCCTTTAACTTTAGCGACAACCTGTATGCAGAAACAGTGAGGTGGGTAACATTTAGCAGAACAGCAGGGTGTAAAAGCAAGTACTCCCAACCCGTCTCCTGGCAGATGCTGCATGCTTTCCCATAAAATGACTTTTCCAAAGCTGTCTGAGTTTGCAGTCTAAGACAGGTGACCTACGGCTAAGTTCTAAGCCCATCAGAACACCAGTGTTAATGCCTATTCTCACGATTAAAAAAAAAAAAAAAAAGAAACAGTGGCAGAGGCCTTGGTAAGATGGTGCCATGCCAAACATGTGACATAAAGGGCATTAGAGTGGCCTCTCAGGACAGCCAAAGGTCCTGGCCCTCAAAATGTACTTGTATGGCCTAAGTAGGGGACATTGAGCAAGGTAGGGTCAACACAGAAGCACAAGTGTGACCACTAGGATCCACCTTCAGCAGGTACCTGCCCCCTGCCAGACACTGTGCTTAGACTCAAAACTGTCACGACTTACACAAGTCAAAATAAAACACCGGTTTTACTTGAAAGGGAGCAAAGGCACACAATCCTCTGAAAGCCCAGGGACCATTATCAGTGTCCTCAGTCCAGGGTATTTCTACAGCATATGAGCAACTGAACTCAGTAAATCTGTTATTTTATTATAGCTGCCAACCACAAACTGGCAAAGCCCTCACTGTAACGGCACAGAACTGCTCAAACATCAAGGTACAACTGAGCTCAGGGGAAGTGAAGCAAAAACTCTATACTTTCACATAACAACAGTGAGTGGAAAAAAGACGCCATGAATTTGAAAGCGAGCAAGGGGCAGTGTATGGGGGGTCTGGAGGGGCAGGGAAGGGAGAGGTGGTGTCATCATATTACAATCCCAAAATAAAAGTTCAAAAACAAAAGCAAGAGGATTTTGTGCTCTCAGGAAGGAATATGCCACTGAAATATGTACTCCTCCATAAGAACAAAAGGACACAAAGAAGCACACCATCCATTATGCGTCATTACTATATTCATCATCAGCAAAAAAAATACCCAAAATAGCATGTCTACATTCCCTCCCATAGGGCGGGTTATTAGCAACTTTGCTAGTATTAAAGACTTGCTCAGTGATATGAATTAAAAACAGCAGCCATACCTTTGTTCTCAGCCCACAACTAACCTATTTTTACAAGAGAACCTTTTACCAACATGATCCTGCAGCCCTTGGTTGTGCAGGGACCCCCCACAGCGTGGGAGGGGTGTGTGCAAATTAGTCAAGTATCTACTTTCCACACAGGAGCAGAGGAAATCCATTTGGACTTGAAGTCAGTCTTTCCGGTGACTTTTAATAAGTTATTATTCTACTGTGGAAGCTTTCCTTGAATCTTCAAATATACTGGCCTATCTATCATGCATCAAGCATTCTCAGTATAAGGGGAGGGGAGGGGCTCCCAGGATGCCACCAGTAATGAAGAATTTCTAGGAATTGTGGAACAGACCAGTACTGTGACTGCCTTGAAAGTAGGTAAGCATTCACTGTTGGGTAGGGGTGTTGCGGAGTATTTGTTTAACTACATAAAGATGTGTTGTTATTTTACCTTGCCTGCTTAAGATACCTGATTGGTCTAATAAAAAGCTAAACATCCAATAGTGAGGGAGAAGATATAGGCAGGACTTCTGGGCAGTGAGATTAAGTAGGAGAAGGAATTTAGGCTCAGGAAAGAAAGAAAAAAGAGACACCAGGGAGATGCCAGGGTCCAGCCAGTCAGACACAGAGGAAGCCAGAAGTAGGGCAGCAAAATGAAAGAAAGGTAAACTACCCCAAGGTAAAACATTGACGAATAGAAACAGATTAAACTAAGTTAAAAGAGCTAGTGGGTCAAGCTTAAACTAAAGCTGAGCATTCATAATTAATAATAAGTCTCTGTGTCTTTATTTGGGGACAGGTTGGCAGCTCAAAGAAAATTCAGACTGCATAGGGGTCTCTGGTATTGCCATTTAACATAAACACAATTAAGGTATGCCTACACATGGGACAATGTAACAGTTCCATCCAGATAAGCTTATCTATAGTAAACTGTCTCATATGGGGCAGGACCCCAGGGTGGAGACGAGAGCTACACTGGCTTTCAGAGACACTTCACTTTGTCCTCATTAATAACTAGAATGGTTTACTCTAACAGTTTATAGATGAGTTACTAACAAATGGCATGATGTTTAATTTTTTTGTTTTTGTCAGAGAAAGATGAAACATTGTTCAAAAGGCTATTCCTCCAGGGTAGGATGTCAGTGTTTCCTGGACACCTCTCCAATCTGAACAGTTTCTCAACTGAAGGTGTCAGTGTGTATGTACATTGTTTATTTGAAAATGTAATCCTAGTTCCTGGGAGACTGAGGCAAGAAGTGCTAAGGAGTTAGAGGCTAGCCTGGACTACGCAATGAGACTCAGTCTTAAAAAACAATCTTAAAATGTCGTATTCGTAATGGCAGACAAACATTCAAAAGTCCCATTTAGAAATGTCTGCTTTTAGACCTCTTTCTTGTTGACACGAGTTTGTCTTTGTTACTTATTCACCAAACAGTGATGCAGTAATCACTGTTTTCACGGCTGCCTTAAGCGCTGGGTAATTGGAACTGTCAGTGTTCTCCTGTTGTCTGGCGATAGGCGCTCATTAGGGTTGACTCATGGACTTCACAGAAACCAGCCCACAACCTCTACAGTGTGAGGTGCCAGACCCCACGAAGACCGGCCACACAGACATGCTCTGCTCAGGACAGAGAGCAGGAGACGGGTGCTGTCCAGTGCTATGGAGAGAACCTAGGGTCCTCAAGCTTGTTTTCTGTCTGTACTGTTTCAAGTCTTCCAGTCTCTGGCTGGCAGACCTGCCAAGCCTACACTAGTCCTGGTGACCCAGCTCTATGGACAATAAGTTCTTCCCTGATTACACAGGGGGGAATCCGTCCTGCTTACAACTTTTCCCAAGGACTTTCTTTATCTGTCTCTCTTTTCTGACACTAGCCACAGCCTGTCTTGGAGGTTTAAATGGGCCTGCCTACGATGCCGGTAAGGACACTGGAGACAGAGGGCTTCAGCCCCTACTTTGTAGTTCAATATCCAGAAGCATAATCATTGTCATTAACTCTCCAGTGCTTGCCCTCAAGCCCTCTGCCTCAGTAGACCCACGGAGGCTGATTCTCATCTTCCACCCATGAACACAACACATCCTGCCCCTTGGCTGTGTCTGGTCTGGCCCATCCTCACGAATACAGAAGATCCTGGGGCTTGTGTATGCTGATTGGACCGTGCAGGAAAACTTCAGCCTGCAGCCCCGCTCTTAGCTTCCTTAGTTCCATCTCTGCAAATCCCTTTTCGTGTGTGTGTGTGTGTGTGTGTGTGTGTGTGTGTGTGTGTGTTGGATCTCCTTGAGCTGACTGAGCCAGATATGGATGTGAGGAACCAAACCACTGACCATCTCTTCAGCCCTGAGTAACAAGTTTCTTGATGACAAAAATTATGGTTTTATTCTATATTTTTACCATACACAAACTAGGTCCACCCCGGGACAAAAAAAATTACTCCTTCTTTGTCTATTCAGCAAGTGGAAGTGCCAAGCACACTGAGTATCAGAGCAACACTCCCCTGTCTCTTGACAAGTGCTTTGGCCTGGAGCATACTACCCAGGCCTCCATTGCCTTTCCCCAACACTCACAACATCATGAAAAGTTTTGCAGATGCAGCACAGATCTACCTGGACAAGAAGCAGGAGGTTTGTATCTGGCAACGGAGACTTGAACTTTAGGGCCTGGAGAAGTTCCAGAACAACACTCCGAGACAGGTAGAATTTATCCCGTTCCTAAAACAAAATAAAAGGGGTTAGTCATTTTCAAAATTCAATTTGCATGACCTATACCAAATAAGCTTCAAAAGTTTACAGATCAGAAATTCTAACCAGTGTTTAAAGTACAATGAGCTGTCTTCTATCAGAACCACAGGATTCTCTTCTGAGTCACAGGCAGCAGAGTTTACAAGCTGCACAACCCAACAGAACTAACTAAGCATATGTTTTTCAGTATTAAGGGTGGATACAGAGAGAAGCAGGCACAGATCCCCCCAAAACTCCACGTTCCCTCCAAGACACCCCTTTTCTGACCTGGATGATTTCAAGTGTACAGAAAGCAGAGAGAACGGACATTTTATGTACCCACCATCCCCGTTCAGTGTATCCTCCCTTCCTGGAAGTCTTCTCTACTTGGAATCTGTTGCTTATTGTGTGTTTCCATATTGGACTACACATGCGCACCTCCATTAGAACTTTTTTAAACCTTAGTACTATGACATCATATACTATGCATATCTTTTCTTCAACTTAGAATTTTTATGCTGTTAGTTAGCCCTCAATATATTTAACTCATTATTTTGAGTCAACGATTTACTAGCATTATATTGTATAGCTGCGCCACAACTCACCAACATTAGTTGCATATTAGATGGACTGTCTCCATTATCCAACACTGCACTCATGCAGTGGAGCACATGGTGTGTAAGTGTACAGTTAAGGAGTTAAAATGGGCTTAGCTCTCAGGTAGCGAACACTTAGGACAGGACCTCACATGGCAAAGACCTCAGGGGCTCTGGGGAGTATTCATTCTCATCCACTGTGTCTGTGTGTTTAGCTGGTTACATTAGCTATGTGCTGAAGGTTTTCACTTCGCAGTTCCATGTAGAGATACTGTGTTTCCACAACTGTTCTCTTCCTTCAAAGAGCCTTCTGCTTCTTCTTCCCAGGCGCATGTGGCCTGCACTGGCTGACCACAGCTACCTTAGTATACAGAAAGGCTCATGGATTGAACCTCAGAGCCAACACTGTACTGGGTACAGCAAAAACAAGTTTATTCTGGTCTTCCTTAGTTTGAGCCCTGAATGGAGGTATACTCTTGTGGAGGATGTGGAATCCAGCTCTCCAGTCCGACGTTCGTCTCTCTACCCTCCTTAACTTCGGAAGCTGCAGCTCAGCCAAAGAGAAAGCCGATCAACATTTCCAGGGAAAAACTGGCCTTTGGGGCCAAATTCACCATGCTGAAGAGTGCAGGGTCAGGCTCACCACCCTGCAGGACTCAGGGCCAGGCTCACCACGCCCAGGCTTACTACCCTGCAGGATTGTGCTCTTCCGATCCCTGGCATCATGATGTCTGTATATTTGGCTAACATACTGATGCTCCCAAGAAGCTTAAAAGAGAATAGCCTGTTTATTTTAAAAAAAATCCAATTTTAAAAAATTGTGTGTGTGTGTGTGTGTGTGTGTGTGTGTGTGTGTGTGTGTGTGAGTGAGACCTCGTGACCTCCTTCCACCATGTGGGTTCTGTCAAGTTCAAGTTGTCAGGCTTTATGGCAGGTCCTTCTGTCCTGACACAACACCACTTTACTGGCTCTATAACAAACCTTTCAAAGCGGTAAATGGGGGTCTAGCTTCAAATTACTCTGTTCACAATTTTTTGTTTGGTTTTGGTTTTCCAAGACAGGGTTTCTGTATGTATCCCTGGTTATCTGGAACTCGCTCTATAGATCAGGCTGGCCTCGAACTCAGAGATCCACCTGCCTCTGCCTCCCGAGTGCTGGAATTAAAGGCGTGCGCCACCACTGCCTGGCTGCTCACAACTGTCATATAACTCCATGTAAGGCTGGCAAAAGGGGTGAGCAGAGGACACTGGCAACAGGAAAAGGTTTCTTGACCAAATCCTAAGGTTAAACGTGTGATGACTGCCAGGTGTTTTGTAGCTCTCGCCTGTATTGCATCATTGTGTGACTCTGCCGCAGCCTCTGTTCTGAATACACCATACACACACACACACACCACACACACACATCACACACACACACACACACCACACTACACACACACCACACACTACACACACACCACACACACACACACACACACACACACACACTGCACTGTGCATGCTGGACTGCACTGCCTGAAACACCTCTGCTCAGGCTGTGGCATACAAGCGACTGTTGTGTTCCTGTTGTGCATACAAAGGCTCTGCTTTTACAGAAATACAAGGTTTGCTGTGGAAAAGACTTCTAAGATGGTCCCACTGCCGTACTGCAATTTCTAAGCATGTGTGCACTAAGTGAGTTACCTCTGATTCACAGAGTTAGAATGTTTGATTTTAAAATTGCCGTTTGGCTGCTGACTTACATTTCATTTTTTTACGATCCCTGCATAGATTTTAGTTTGGGATTAGGAAAAGGTTGCCAACAATTTGAGATGGTCTTAAACTCCACAGTTTTTGTGCTAAGTGTTTATGCAAAGCCTGCTTTTCAGCTCTGATGAGAATAAAATAAAAATGCCAAACAACTCTGAAAAACATTGAAGATAATCTATGTCCTGCAGTACTCTATTTATGTCCTGCAAATATTCTGGCAATATTTGATTCTTTATATAATAAACAAGCAGATCCAACTCATTAATAAGAATTTTTAATAAAGATTTTTAAAATTTATTTATTTATTGTTTTTGGTTTTTTGGTTTTTCTTAAAGACAGGGTTTTTCTGTATGTAGCCCTGGCTGTCCTGGAACTCACTCTGTAGACCAGGCTGGTCTTAAATTCATAGAGATCCACTGCCTCTGCCTCCCGAGTGCTGGAATTAAAGGTGTGTGCCATCACTGCCCGGAATTTTTTATATTTAATGTTTGTATATGTATCTGTGTGTGTGGGGGGGTGGGTATGTGCCCATGAGTGCAGGTGCCTGCAGTAGCCAGAAGAGGGTGTTGAATCCCCTGGAACTGGATCTATAAGCGGCTAGCTGTAAGACACCCAGCATGGGTTCTGGAAAGTGACCTGAGTCCTCTGCAGGATAGGTATGCTTTCTTACTGAGCCATCTTTCCATCCTTGAAACTTTCTTTTACCTTTAATAAATGGTAAATTTATGTACACCAAATAACTGCTCTAAAATAAATGCAACCATGATTTATTAGTAGTAAATGTTTGGCCAAATGCCTATTTCACAGTCCTGTAGATCCCAGCGTCTGTCCTCTCCTTCCCCTGCTGCCCTCGTCTGCTGGAGTCAGGAGTCTGCTGCCCTCGCAGACTGGGCAGTGCTCTCTGATCTGTCCTATTAGTGTGCAGGTACAGATGCGTCTGTCTGCAAACACTGAATGGACACTAGTGGTGCAATGGCATTCATTCCAGGGTGGCTTTCAACTTCCAGCTCCGTTATTTCAACATTTAGGTGTAATCAGCGTTGGCTTTTTCTCTTCTCCTGGTTGTCATGCATTGTTTCTCTCAAAACTACTCCTGTTGTACAGGAACTCAAGGTACTGGCTCAGAGTTAACTGTCTTGACCGTAACATGCCTGCCATCATGTTTCTTTTTGACAATACCCTTTTTCTTGCCATTTATCTGCTTTTCTTGATCACTGTGATCAAGGTCTGGCCTTAGGGCCACCTTTGCTGTGTTGCTCCTCTGTGAATCTGTGTTTCCTCCTTCCCTAACCACTCTGCTCTCTCTTATAATGCAAATGGGCTGTTTTAGTTAATTTAGTTTTTCTTTCTTTGCAGCAAAGTACTGAGGACAGCGGCTGGGGACTTCTTCAGTTTGTAAACTGCTTGCTGTGTAAGCACGAGGACCTGAGTTCACATCCCCAACACGCATGAAAAAATAAATAAATAAAAGCCAAGCTTGGCAGTTCATGCTTGTAAGTCCAGAGCTGGGGGCAATGACAGGCAGATTTCTGACCTAGCTAATCAGGGAACTCAGGTGCACTGAGAGACCCTGTCTCAAAACACAAAGTTGGGCCAGAGGAAGACACCTACATCAACTTCTGGCCTCCATATGTACATACATACACATGTATTTATACACACATACAGTTATGTAAGGCATTAAAAGTGCTTTCCAACACATTATGGCTATAATGCTCCATTTTGAAGATAATATTTTCACAATTGGAACTAATATTCTAAATTCTCTTAAACATTCTTTTGATTTTAGACTTATTAAACAGTATATTGCAGCTGCCAAGTATAACAAGCCTCGGGTACTACTACTGCCACCTTGTACACACTACCACACATTAGCACAGGGCTGAAAAGTCTGAGTTTTCAGAGCCCTGCTGATCAATAGTCTCGGGTTGTGTGCATAGACACTCTCATCCACTCACACAACCTCCCAGGACAAACATGCACTTACTCTACACAGGCAGATAACATGGTGGGCACAGATCTGACAAGGAGACAGGATCCATGCATCTGAGAAGAGGGAACAGTCAAGGAAAGAATCTCAATGATTTCTCCATGTAGCTGGGAGACAATATACTTACCTATGTACCAGAGGTGTGTGTGTGTGTGTGTGTGTGGTGTTGGTGTCTGTGTTTCTATATGTATGTGTTTGTCCGTGTGTCTGTATGTAAGTGATGTTTGTGGCTGTATTTGTGTCTGTGTGTCTCTGTGTGTGGTGTATTTGTGTCTGTGTGTCTGTGTGTATGTGCGTGTGGTGTGTTTGTGTGTCTGTGTGTATGTGTGTGGTGTGTTTGTGTCTGTGAGTCTGTGTATTTGTGCACATGCGCACACTCTTCCCTGTTCTCAGGACTTTGAAGGCTGATGTAGCTGTATTTGCATAAATAGAAGGAACCTCTTCTAACTTCTCTAGGGGTAAAGTATAGGTATAGCCCATATACTTATACTTGTTTCAATACTCAATGAAATGTGTGACTGAATTTATCAATGTCCTTTTACGGTTATATTAATTTTAGAGACTCTGTTCTTACCTCTATAGAGCTTTAGAACTGTCACATTTTCCTGATGAAGCGTTCCCTCTTTCAGTATACAATGACTTTATAATAATGCT